AGCGCACGCTGATCGCGCGGCGCGCGGCGGCGGCGGCGCCTCCGGCGGCCGCGGGCGAGGCGGCGCCAGCAGCGGCAGCGGCGGCGGTGGTGCCGCTGGCGGCGGCGGCGGCGGCCGCGGAGCCTGTGTTGGCAGTGGTTGCGTGAAAGCAGCGCTGTGATCACACATGCTTTTCAGCATGTGCACACGCCTTGCCGGTGACTGTATGTTTGATTTTACTTCTTTCAAACGCTTATATCATCTCTTCATTGCTCATCCTTGATTGGAATCAGTATGATGCGGCATATGCCCCGTGATTTTGTTTTACAGTGCCAGGTGCAGGTATAACCTCTCATCCCCCACCTCAAGCCCCGGCTGCCATGATCACCACAAATCTCTGTGGAAGGATGAATTTGTCCTTTGATTTTGCTGGACAGAACACATGCAGAGCTTGCTGTCTACTCCAAAACGTGGTGCTCAAGCGCATGCATACTATGCACCCCACACCCCACATGTGCACCTCAGTGAAGAAACAATTAACTGTTGACTTCAAGCGGCGAAGGGACGGGCAGAGTTAGCGCCGGCGGCAGGGCGTGTGGTGGTCGGCGGGGAGGGGGTGCTGCGAGTTTGTGTGGGTCGTTCGATCACGCCGGGCGGGGTCTGAGAGGGCTGCGGCGGCCTCGGCTGCCAGCATGAGACGTGCGCTTCAGGGCAGGCGACGTCAAGGTGGGTTTTGCGCAGGTTATGACCGGCAGCCCAGCGTTGGGGGTGGGGGGATCTTGGTGGTTAGCTGGACGATAGTGACCGGGGTGGCCTGCCACACAGCAGGATTGACGCCGGGCGTTCGAGTTGCATGTTGTACAGCAGGATGGGAGGGGCAGTTGTGGCCTGTTGCCTCGCCGTGGTCACTTGGGCTTAAGGGCCGCCCCCTTTACGCACAGGCACTTATAAATTTATTGAGTTCACAAAAATCCACCCTGCAGCCACTCGGCCTGCCAGTGCCACATGGCGCGCACGTATTTGCAACAAGTGCGGTCAACATGGCGGTCAACCCTGCAGACAGCTGCGACTCTATCTGAGAGTTCTGCGTGCAGCCTATTGAGCCAAAGGCTTGAAGCTCAACAATTTGGAATGGGCAGCTATATGCATCTGGACTTCAATTGTCAGATGACAACACTGTGAAGGTCGTCGGCTGCATCGGCTGCCGGCGTGAAGGGCGCAATCAAGCAAAGTGTGCTTATTTTCAAGTACAGTAACGTCTTGATATGCAAACGCAAATTCGCGTCACCCTCATTTACGGCAACTGGTCCTGTTGCCTGCTCAAAATCTTGATCTTGACTGCACACACAGGTTTCCTGCCAATAGGCCTGGGCGCGCTATCTGCAGCGTCAGCCCTTACTTGACGGTCAGGTATGGTACTGTGCACGCTTTGTTGCTGCTGGATTGTTTCCTGCTGCCCCTGCGCTTGCGCCGCGCTGCTTCACACCCCCTATTGAAGGCGCTGCGTCTTCTGTCCGAACGAGCACGCTGTTGGGGCTGGGGGTGCGCTCCCATCCCTGCGCGCTGCATGCACAGCCCTGTCGTGGCAGCCCGCTAACCCTGGGCCCTGTGTGGCGTGGCCTCAAGCGGAGGGGTTGTTTGTTTGTGACATATCCCAGGAACCTCTCCAGAGGGACAACTGGATGTAAACAATGACAAGAGTGAGCAGGAGAAAATCAAATAATACTGTCTGAACGCAAAAGGGGTTGTGGGTGCCTCAGCTCAGCTCTGCAACGGTGATGACCGTGGCAAGCTCACAGGCACGCGGGGCTGGGCTGCATTGTGGGGTCATGGGAGATTTGGGCTCAGTGATTGGAATTTATTCTGCAGCTTCATCTCTGAAGATGTGCTCGCATTCCAGACGTGTACCGTATTGTGTTATGCGTGTGCGTGCCAGTGTGCGCGATGGCCCAGATCATGTTTGTGACCCCGTTACCAACTGCATAAACTTACCTAGATTGTCAATGTCAACAGACAAACAAAACATGCCTTAGTGCGTCTTTCTCGAGACGCGGTCAAACCGCAATGTTTGAATAATTCGCGTGATAGGAAATCGACATGGCCGAGCAGAGTTTTATTATGCTGGGCCCCCTCTTGGAGAACCCCTTGAACCAAGCATGCCGCCCAGGGTCGGCCGCGCCGGGCAGCAGGCGCAGGCCAGCCTCTGCCGCTGCTCAGCAGCAGCAGCACGGCACTGTGGGCCAGGCACAGCCGTCCACAGAGTCATGTGCCTGGTGGCAGAAACCATCAGAATCCCGTGGGTTAGGACCGTTGCAGGAAATCGAGGGCGAAGGGTCCCTTGCAGCATCAGGCAGCGACGTTTCGTACCCTGTGCGAGAGAGCAGCAGCGGCTCCAGCCTGCAACTGCCGCCAGATATTGGCACAGGCTCAGGGCGGCACCCGTTCCTCGGGTGGGGAGCCACATCGAGTGGCAGGCTCACTGAAGAGCAGACAGAGGCGGCATCGGAGGCAGCCGCCGCGGGGATGCTTGGTGCAAAAGCTGGGCGGCATTGGGAGAACGAAGCCGCGCCATCCGGCTGTGTTGAGCAAGCAGCGCCTCCAGCAGAGCGATGTGTCGCAGCTTTGCGCCGTGCATGCAGCAGCGCCGGCACACAGGGAAGCAGTCACGTTGCCGAAGTTGCACATCAGCAGCGGCAGCAGCAGCAGCAGCAGCAGCAGCAGCAGCAGCAGCAACAGCAGCAGCAGCAGCAGCAGCAGCAGCAGCAGCAGCAGCAGCGGCAGCAGCAGCAGCAGCAGCACGAGCGCAGTATGTCCGGCCGGGCTCGCCCGCAGAGTGCCTGCTGGAGGCGAGTCGATCAAGGCGTGGCGGGCGTCCGTGCCCCGTGGGAGCAACCCGTGGCGTGCCCGTCGCCTTGGCACGCACCACGGCGGCCCGGCAGCCCCCCGGTGCGGCCGATGAGCGCAGGTGCGCCGGCGGCCCGCGCCAACGCCAGCCGGCTGTACGGCGGGTGCAGGCGCGGCGTGGGCGCTGGCGGCAGCACGACGAGCGGCAGCGGGGTTGGGGCCATGGCAGCAAAGCAGCCTCGCCTGGGGACACCTGGATCTACACCGCCCCCCCTGCCAGCAAACGGGCCGCCGCCGCGGCTCGCCACGCCGTTGTTCCCAGCCTGCTGCAGCAGCCTGCCCGCACGGCCAGCGAGCCGCGGCGGCGGCTTCAGGGTGCCGCATGCTGCCGCGCCAAACGCGGCAGCTGCGCAGGTGCCAGCGGGCGCCCGGGGCCCCATGCTGCTCAGGGGTAGGCAGGCAGCTGCGGCGCGTACAGGCGCAGGTGGTGGTGGCGGCAGCAGTGGGACGACGCAGTTCGCGGCAGCTCGGGGCAGTCCGCAGGCGTGGGCATTCCCTCTCAGCGGGCTCACGCGCAGCTTTGGTGGGCGGCCCCGCTCAGCGGGGGGCTCTGCAGGCGCGCCGTGGAGGCTGGTGTCATCCGGAGTCGCAGATGTGTTGTCTCCCTGTGCATACATCGTCCCCGGCTTTGCTGCTGATGGCGGCGGCAGCGACGAGCTGTTGCTGCGCGGGGCGCCGCCCCGCCCACCCTGATGGCTGTAAGAGGCACAGGATGGATCTGATTGTGAAGGCATGCATTGGGGCTGGCACAGCTGTTGTCTAGCAGTGGCCACGCTCCTGATATCACCCTGCTCTCAGGGCCCTCAGCCCCGCCGATCCCAGGCGTTGTTGAGCTGGCACCTGCAGCGCGCCATGTCAGACTGCAGTGCTCATCGGCATCAATGGCGGTGGACATTGCAAAATCAGGCAATCAAACGGCTACCGCAACATATTGCACCATAATATACAAGTCGTTCGCCTTGGTTCCCGTGACTGCAGTTCAAACGATCTGTCCGGGCTGTCGACACACAGCGAATGCGATGGAGGAAGTGGGCGCCCCTGAGAGGTTGCAGCTTCGAATAGTAGTCGGGGTACGCTCGCTGTGGCCATATGGCACGAGGGCAGCTGTGGTCGTGCGCCATGCACGACCGCTCAATCCATGGTCCCCCAAACCATTCGCAGGGAAGCAATAAGAAGCTGGGAACGGTCAGAGTCGTGCGCAAGAGCCGCGGTGAGCAGGGCGCTGCCGGTGATACAAGTGTGCCGCGCTGTGCTGCGATTGCAGCACATGCCGCAGCGCTGTGGGCCGCGCGTTCACTGCCCTGACTGCTGAGTCCGCTGCACCCAAACCTGCGCGTAGATCATGAGAAGTGCGTCGTCGAGGGCGAGGGGTTCGTCTTCAAGCGCGCACGGCGCACAACACAGAAGCCCACGCCGATTGCGCGCAAGAGCCCTGACGCAGCCGCGCCGGCCCTGGTAGCCCCAGCCGCTGGGGATACCGGCGCCGGGGCCGCCACCGTGCAGCTGGGAGGCCCTCAGCAAGGGGCGCCCGACGCAGCCGCGTCCGCCGACCAGGCCAGCCCAGGCGCCGGCGCAGCCGCGCCCAGCGTCCCGGCTGAACAGCTCGAGCAACTGGGGCAGGCGGAGCAGCAGCGGCGGCGGGCGAGCGTCGCCCCTGCGCCGTTGGGGCCGCTGCGTTTCAGCATGGTCGCCTCCGAGATTGCTTACCTGGTGCAATGGGTGCTGGCCACAGAGTTGCGGCTGGGTGGCGCTGGCGTGGGCGCGGGCAGCAGCGACGCCGCCGCTGCCGCCGCCGCCGCCGCGTCCGACCGCGCCGAGGCGCTGGCGCAGGCCGCGGCGGACCGCGTCGGCGCCGCGCTGCTAGAGCGCGGCTCCGCGGGCGCGGGCGGCGCAGCTGGTGGAGCCGGGGGCGGCGACGGTGCGGCGGAGGCCGTGGCTGAGCCCGCGACAGTGGCGCTGGCGCCGGCCGTGGTGCTGCCGTTCCAGGTCGCGAGGCTCAAGGCGCGGCTGGCGGAGAAAAGGGACTGGTGCGTCGCTGCCCGCGTGATGTAGCCTCGTGTGTCCTTAGTGTATGCCTGGGGGGTTGCTGTTCAGCGGGCAATGACCAGCTCACCAGGGGCATACCAGCGCTGCCGAGTTGCCGTGTGTTCTCGTCAGTGCTTGTGGTGCAGCCACGTTGCCGAGGCGCCCCGCATCGTGCCACGCACCCTCCCTGCCCAGGCTGCTGCAAGTGGAGCGGGCGTGGGATGACGTCGAGGCGCGCCACTGCAGGGTAGACGCCGGCGCCGACGGCGCCGCGCAGCCCGCCCCGGACTGCCGCCCCAGCGCAGGGGCTGCGGAGGCCGCAGAGCGCGGCAGTGGCGCCGAGCCGCCGGAGCCGGCAGCCGCGGAGCAGGGCGTGGTGCCGGCCAGCGGGGACGGCGCCGGCGCGGGCGAGGCCGCTGGTGCATACAACGGGGGCTCGGCGGCGGCGGCGCGCGCGGCGGCGGCTGAGCGTATGGCCCTGCAGGCTGAGGAGATGGAGGCGCTCGTCTCCAAGGTGGAGCTGGTGGCAGCAGAGGCCGAGGGCGTCGCGACCGCGCTGCAGGTGCGCCGCGCCGCCATTGCATCCAGGAGGCCGCGGCCGCGCACGCAGGGCGGGGCGCGGCGGGCCGCTTGGCCCCGCGCATCGTGTTGAGGGACGCCTTGTGTGTCGCTCCATCGCGTTGCCGCACCACCAGTGGCCGGCGACAAAGCCGAGCACGTTCCGCCCATCCTCGTCCCCCTTTCGCCCGGACCATTTATCCCCCCTCCACACCCACTCCACGCCCCCTTCCGCTGCTCACCCCCGCCGTCCTCTGCCACCCTCTGCCGCCCTCACCCCCCCTTAGGCCCAGTTCCACCGCAACCGCTTCCGCCTGTACCCCCACGTCAACTCGCCCGCACTGCTCATCAAGAGCCTCATCAGGGGGGCCGCAGGCGGCGGCGCGGCGAGCGAGGACGGCGACGGCGCTTGAGCTGGGGCCGGGGCGCAACGCGGGGCGGCGACGCGGCGCGCGGGGCGCGAGGGCGGGGCAGGGTAGCGGCCGCGGGCTGCCCTCCTTGCATAGTGTGGCCACACATGAGCAATGCGGCAAGCTTTGCAGCGAAAGAGACGACGCAGTGTCGAGCTCTCCTGGGCTTTGGGGGAGGGGGCGCTCGGACTCTTGACGGATGACAGCACGTGCGTGGCGTTTGCCCGGCACTCCTATGGTCCGGATGGTGCAGACTGGCCACGCACACGTTTCAGATTTTGTTGTGTTCTGAGCACCTTTGTTGACCTGGTAGCCCTTCCCTGACATTTGGCCAGGCCAGCTGCCCTGGTGACTGATGTTCTTGCCAGTGACCCATGTCATCCACAGCTGCCTAGGAAGGATTGGCTCTGTAATTTACAAGATGAGAAGAAGACAAGCGCAACCAAAAACAGGAGCGGGCAACGACCAAAGCAGGCCGGTATGAAGGTACATGCCCTGCAGTACTGCTTTCCTCCAAAGAAGGGCGGATGCTCGCCAGCGGGCCCCGGCGTTTGGGGCCAAGGCAACAGTATGTAAAGGGGGTGTGTGTTCGTACAAATCAGGGGTCAGCGGCTGACGGCCACGCGCACACGAGGCGCAGTAGAGCGCGCGCCGCATTGCACGGTGTGTGGCGGTGGGGCGGGGGCCCCACAAGCGCGCAGAAGACTCTGTCAGGCCTGGCATCGCCCGCTGACGCCGAGGGCGGCGTCTGCTTCTCGGTGCTGCTTCTGGTCTCCATTCAAGAGCGGAGCCTGCTGGCTGTGGTGCACGAGCACGCACTGCTGCTGCTGCTGCTGCTGCTGCTGCTGTTGCTGCTGCTCGGTGTGCTGCCGAGGCGGCAGAGCTAGCGGATCCGCTGCCCCGCCGCCGTCAGGCGACTGCCCGTGTTGCCACCCTGTGCTGGCGCCTTCGCCTGCAGCCTGCTGATGGGCCTGTTCGTCGCGCTGCCCTTGACGCTGCTGCTGCTGCTGCTGCTGCTGCTGCTGCTGCTGCTGCTGCTGCTGCTGCTGCTGCTGCTGCCGCAGCTGCTGCCGCAGCTGCGGTCGAGTGGCATCGCCCTCAGCCACGCCCTCCTCACCCTCGCTGCCCGCCGCGGCCCTGCCGTCCTCGGTTGCCGGCGCACGCACTGCCGGCGCAGGCGCCCAGCCGTTGCAGCGGCCGCCGTACACGCGCCACCCGTTGCCGCCGCCCGCGCCGTACGCCAGCAGCCGTTGCAGCAGCTGCAGCACCTGCCCCGGGTCCCGCAGCGTGAACGCCGCCGCGGTCGGCTTGGCCACCGTCGATACCAGCACGCCCGCGCCCGCGCCGGCGCCCGCCAGCGCCGCAAACGCGTCCTCGTCCGTCTTGTCGTCCCCTAGGTATATGGCGGTCACGTCCGGCTGCCCCGCCAGCCCCAGCACGCCCAGCAGGTGCAGCAGCGCCGAACCCTTGTCCCAGTCCACCGTCGGCCGCACCTCCAGCACCTTGCGCCCGCGCGTGACGTGCAGGCGGCCGCCGCCGGCGCCGGCCACGACGGCGTCGACCGCGGAGACGACGCGCTGCCAGCTGTCGGGGTGGCAGTTGCGGAAGTGCGCCGACACGCAGAACTTGTTGTGCTCGACGCTGGCGCCGGGGATCGACTCGAGGCTGAAGGCCAGGGGGGGGGAGAAGGGGCGAGCCGGGTGAGGGCGCCAAGGATGCGGGGCCTTGCCAGATGGCTGGCAAGAGGGGCGGCATTGATGATTGGGCATGCTCAATGCTCCAGGGCGGCTCCCTGACGGCTGCGGCGCCTGCCGTTTGCATGTTGACGGTGCGAACGGCTTGTGCCGAAGACCCGTGCACGCCTGATCAACGCTGCGTGCCACTCACGCCCCCAAAGCCCGCACCTCTCCCGCAGCTGGCTGTACACGCGGTCAATCAGCGGTTGGTACTCCGCCGCCGCCTGGAACCTGAACTGCTCCACGACACCACCGTCGCCGCTGCCGCCGCCAACAACGCCGCCGCCTGCCGTGCTGCCGACCGTGGCGCCGCAAGGGCCGACGATGTCCATGCCGTGGGAGCCGGCATAGAAGAGCTCAGGCAGCCTCACAAACGACTCCACCTTCTCGCGCCCGCGGCCGCTGATGATGGCAGTGGGGAACATGCCCGCCACCTGACGCACGGTCTCCCGCATCTGGGGGTGGGGGGAGGGGCAGGCGGACGCGGAACGGATGAGGGTGGACTTGTGATTTCAGGAGGGGCGGTTGGACCAGGTGGCGGCCTGCCAGGCGCCGGGGGTTGCGGAGGTTGCCTAGCACCACAGCATTGCTGCAGGAAACGCAGTGGGTGGCAGCCCTGCACCCGCACCTGGTCTGACATGATGGCGGCATCGGGATTGCTGACGATCGGCGTGAGGGTGCCTGGAAAGCGGGGCGGGTGAGGGCGCTGCCGGTGAGAAGGGGGGATCACCAAACACCCGCGCGCGCCAGACTCGTGCACCACCCACAGGCCAGCGACGACTCCGAGTTTCGGAGCACAAAGGATCTGAGAACATGCAACGCAGTGCCGTGCGACGGTGGGGTTGAGGCTGGGATGCGGCAGCGCTCTGGGGTGGCAATCCTGCACTGCCACGCACCGTCATAATCAAGGAATACAGCAAGCCTCCGCCCGTCAAGCTGCTTTTGAAACTCCTCAAATTTGGTGAGCAGGCAGGGGTGCTGTGCCTGCGACACGAGAGTGCAGTCAACGGCCGGGGGCGTCAGCACGCACTCACCCCCGGCCGGTGCTTGCGCAACGGTGGGGTGCTGCTACCGCGCTGCCAGGACCCTGCCCGCCGTGCTCACCAGCCATACTTGGTACTCAGCACTCCCTATTTGAGCCTCGTCCTGGTCCGAGCCGCTCGGGGTGGCGGAGAGGCTGCGAGCACGCTCCAGACTTTGCTCCAGGCATGCCAGGCTCGCAGACGGCAATCCACCGTCATCATTTGCAGCATCTCCAGCTATTGCAGCCAGCACAGGCTCACTATGGCACGCCACGCGCATTGGGTCTCTGCTGCCGGGGGCGCGGAGGCGAGGAGGCCGAACACGCTATGTGATGAGCCTGGGGCAATTGATGAACCCACGGGCGCTGTGATCACCCTCGACAAGGGGTTGATCCGCAGTCCCACAGTCCCCGTTCCGAAAAAGCGGGCAACGCACATATGTACGTGCAAGTACGCATGTATTTGGACAACTGCAATCTCACCATCTCTCTATACGGTCGCTGCTATCACTTGCTGCTTGCTGCATGGCTTCACCCCGTCAGCTGCCAGCACCGGGTGTGTAAGGCCTGGGGACACTGGGCTTCCTGCGCGCATGGACGCGACACATGGCGGCGATATGCCGTGGAGTTGTGAGCTAGCGCCGGCTTCCGCGGGCTGTGACAAGCAACGCCGGGTGCGACAAAGCCCAGGGAGCACCTGTGGGGCCCGCAACACCGAGTGAGAATGCAACTGGAGAAATCGCGTGATGCAATCGAGCCATCGCTCTTCACAATTTGACCCATGGATCATGCTTGCCACCAGGAACACCCACATATCTGCACGCTGTGACGTTGCAACTGTGGGGACCAGCAGAAGGGGGGCCCATGCTGGATGGGAAAGGGACGCCCTCATGAAGGTGAGGGATGCACAGGCGCTCAGTGCCTGCACAGTCCACTAACGCCAGCTTTCTTGTGGGCGTATAGACACTAGGCTGCATTTATGTGATTCTCCAGGTGCATCACCTCTCCAGGCACTTGCTGGGACATCGCCGGAGCAGGCAGAGGAGCGGCGCATTGTGCACTGTGCCTCCCCGCCGCCC